GATTTTTGATTTATATCACGAATTATACTATAGCTCATTTCTAACAGGTTTAACGAATTACATGTCATTTATTTGAATTCAAATTTATTTTAATGACTTAGTATTTACTAAAAAGATGTAAATTTAAAAAAAAAAAAGTCGTTATATGGATTTAAATGATTGTTTTGAATTCTTAGAATTTTGTGAATTTGCAATGTATCTAAGTTAGTAGCGAGCGAAGCAAACCATATAAGATTGCGTAGCAGTTTTCGGGGGTGGGTGAGTGTTAGCGAGCAGGGGGCGCAGCCCACTAGTTTAATGACAAATACAAAACTGAAAAGTCAATTTATCCGGATAAGTGGTTTCCTATACTATGCTCTAAAGTATCATAATAAAATCATTATGTTTTATATCATAATATAAAACCATATTTAGTGTTAATTTTACCAAAATCATTACCTAAGAGCTTCGGTCAAAATTGCCGAGGATTTTGTTGCTCCCATACAACCTGAAACGTGGTAAACTTACCATATTTTGGTACTTTTGACCATACATATTTTTTATCAGTGTGTGATGATAACACTGTTCTTAATGTTATAAGACAAAATCCATTTCTTAGTAGAGTACTGCTAAATAATTTCTTCTCTTTGTGATAATTTCGTTTCATGATTATTAATAAAACAGGTACCATCTTCGTCTGTTGATAATTTTGTTCCCGAATATTATTAATACAGTGATGACAATTCCATTCTGAATTTTATTGAAACAGACGACATCCTCACGTGATGGTATTTCTATTTCAGATTTTTAAATAACTATATATGCTTTCTTCTCATGACGATTCCATTTCTGACTATTTATCAAATTAAATTTCCTTCACGTGATAGCAATTCTATTCAAGATTATTCTAAAAGCATATGTCTTCGTTTTCGTGTGATGGCAACTCTGGATTATTATAGAACCAAACGATTACGATTATTACAGAACCAAATTCTACGATTATTATAGAACCAAAGATTTTCTTCACTTGATGAAAAAAGAAAAAAAGACAATCCTTGGTTCGACTTTTATAAAACAAATGCTCATAACTCACAATTCTCATTCTCTGTGTTTGCGTGTATATTACTAGCTCAAAGAAAATTCTGATTTTTTATTTTTTTTTTCAAATTGAGTATCTAATTTTATATATAAAAAAAAAGTATTACTTAGTGTTGCACAGGTTCTAATTTTGCACTGTGGTGCTAATGCTTGTGCTTCTATTTCATTTAAGCTTGTTAGGTGTCTTTGTCTTCAGTGCCAATAACACTAAAGCAAGTGTTTTTCTCCTGCCATTGTTTTACGTTTCAAGAGTTTCAAGTCTGTTTATTTTATAAAAGTGCAAATGTATATTTACTTACAATGTTCCCATCGCCGAAAAAGTGCAGAAAATATCAATTGTGAATGAGCTGGAATTTTTAATCCTTGTTTTTTTCTCATATGAATGAAATGTTAAGTTTACTGTTGCGTTAATTCTTTAAGATCTCCAAAAACGAAATTTAAAGATTACTTTCGACCATTTCAACAACGGAAACTATCATCTATTCCCATTTTTCAACCATCAACGGAATTTCCGCCGGTAGAAAAGGAAGCTGTTACTGCCGTTAGTTACAAACAACTCAACTGAAAGATGAGAAAGTGATGAAATTAGTAGCATTCTGGTTTCTCTTCCATCACCAATAGATTCTGTTCCATACCCTTGTTTTGTTCCATTCCTCCCTCCTCCCATCCAGCTGCCAGACAACGTCCCACTAATTGCACCCACGTTCCGTGATATTTCAGCGCTGGTATTTTTCTGATAAGGCACGCGGGCCCCCCATCTCTGTCAGCAATGGCCGGAATAAAGATCCTCAAGTTCCAAAATGGCGATGGATTGATGAATCCTGCATCTCTTGGGTTACATGCATGTTGTCGACTAGGTTGTTGAAGTCAGCTTTGTCTTTCAGCTGGAAGTGGCGTTGGCGATTACGTGAAAAATAGTTTCAAGTCTTAGATAAATCTTGCCTGAGCCAAAGATCTTTCTGATTGCTATTTAAAAATAGATCAATTATTGTAGTGGAATGGTTATTATCTTAAGCCTAATTTTAGGTAAAATATTTAAAACTTCCGATATTTCTTAGTAGAAAAAAATATATATATATATTTGCTTACAGGTATTTTTTTAAGCCCTTTCGCCAAGGTCGTGATACAAAGTTATAATTTTAAGCAATGTATGCCATCTTGCCATATAGAATTATCTGGGTTTTAGAACGAGCAAATAACTTGAAAGTTTTTAGACTTTTTAATCATTCTGCTTTTCATGTTTTTTGGAGAGGTACCTCATTTTTGCGTTATATGCAAATAGATGGTTTAACTTCGTTGGGTAAATAGGAATAGCAGGATGATCCTAATATCCTAATTATCTTTTCTTGCATTAAAAGAGATTTAAGGTGTACTTTTCATAAGTCTGTTTTGTATTATAAAAGTATCAAGCTAGAATTTATGTTTTAAACATACTCCAGTTTTTTTTTTAAACTTTTAGTCCTCTGGGGTAAATCTAAATTCTTAGTTAGAAATTATTGCAAGTTTTCTGAACACACTTTGTATTGTTTTGTGTTTTCTAGAAGCAGTGGTTTAATATCTGTATATAACCTTTAAACAAGAGTTGGAATAACCATTATCGAATTAGAATAGGTACCTTTTTCCTGCTTAAATTTGTACGGAAATGGTTATATTTCTGTTATTGGATGCCCCCCCCCCCAATAGCTACGATTGGAACCAACCTTTTTTCCATATAATGTCTGCATTTACCTTTAATTTTTGACTTAAAAATCAGAACCGTATCTAATTATGTAAGTATACAACAAGAAACGTCATTTGGTCTTCATTTTTTTTAAAAGCAATCATCAATCATAATGATCTATCATAGTCAATCAATCAATTGCCCAAACTTATTCAACCAATTATTATTGTATTCTACCATCCCCTGTCGCCTCAGTCATTATAATGACTTTATCTTTCGAAACTCGCCACCCCCCTCTATATTACACGATATGCTATTTACATGGTTCTATTATACTTGAAACTTACACAACAACAGTGTGTTTCAGATTTAATTGAAGGAAAACTAATCCATTATGTTTTGGCGAAGTTTTAATTTTCAGTGATTTCTTTTTGGCGTGATTACTCAATAATGTGAGTTGTTTTAGCGTTTCTTATTCGAGGTTGAACTGTACAAATACTCTGTCCGTGTATATTCGCGATAATTTGCATATTCTCGTTTATAAATGGCGCTTATTATGTCTTTTCTGAGCCATAGTTGGGTAATATTATGCAATGGTAAAAATCGTAATATTTTAAGTGGCTTATTGTAGTTCTGTTTTACTTGCAAGAGTTGCGTGATATTTTGAATTTACGTCTTCTGAAATATATCTTATCTTTTATGTCTGTCGAAACCAATTATCGTGATTATCTTTACTATTTTCTTATCGGAAAATAAATACATTTAATTCCAGTTAGGCTATGTATATCAATAAATATAAAGAATATTGATTATTATACTATAGGTTTTAATCAAGATCATGTTAATAAAATAAAAATGTGTGATTTGAATCATAGTGTTTTCAATTTACGCGTAATAAATTCGTCATATTATTGTTCTCATTACTCCTATATCTTTTAAATACCATCATCGCGAGTTTCTTTTTTATTTACTTATTGCAATATCGATACATTCCATCCATTCTAAGTTGTGTTTATCAATTAATATGAAGAAAGAAATTCATATGTATTTTAACCATAAAGCATGTTATTTGTAGAATAATGTGTAGTTTAAAGGACGATGTTTTATAATACGTCATATTTTTATCTGTTCTGTTCCATTATCGCGACTTGATTTATGCATAAGTTTACTTATAGGAATATATTTAATTAATTCTTGCTTATCTATTGATTATAAAAATGTACCATACTATCGGTTCTAGTGAAATATCACGTTTATTAACAAATAATCCATGATTTAAATTATGTTTTGATTTTTATGATACGTCATATTTTTATCGTGACTTTGTTTATAGTTTTCTTATCGGAATATTCATTCTAACTTTAATTCATTCATCGGAATATTCATTCTAACTTTAATTCAACATTAATTCTAACTTTAATTATTTAATGCATTCTAACTTATATATTGATTATGAAAATGATATTCTATGTATTTTAGTTAAGTTTCTTGTTAACGAATAATGGGTGATTTAAATAGTGATGTGCTGAATTTACGTCTTCTATAATGCGTCATATTTATATCTGTTTATTTCAATTATCATGACTTCATTTAAAATTTGCTGAGTGGAACTTGAATATATTTAATTCATTATCATGTTAATTAACGAATGAAGTGATTAAGTTATTTGTTTAAAATACGCCATATTTATATCTTGTTTATTTACATATTGTGACTTTTTTGAACTATTTAATTATTGGAAAATGAAAATTTTAAATTAATTTTAGGTTGCATATTGATTTTTAACAAGATTTTTACTATACATTTCAATCAAACATCACACTGTTTAGAGAATAACGCGTGATTTCAATTATCCATGCATAATTTAAAGTTTATATTAACCCTGTATTTAATCAGTGTCATGTTTTTAGTTGTTTTCTTGTATATCATTACTCAATCCTACTTGCTATCTATAGTGCTTTTTATTTAAATATTTATGAGTCATGCTGACATGTTTTTTACTATGTTTTGCATAAAAATTTGCTCGAAACGCAGAGGCTTTAATTTGGAGATTCTATTCCATAGAATTGAGATGAGAAATTAATATTTAAGGTGTAGTTGTGATTATGACAGATTTTAAAAACAGTGAAGTCTATTTTAATTTATTATAATGATAATAGATTTATTTTGCATGCAGCTTATTATCGTAATTAATGTTAATAATATTAGTTATTAGTGTCTAGTGAGCATCTCTTTTGAATTTTTATTTTTCATTTCATTCTAGGTGAGTAATCATTATGGATTATCTTGTCTTTGCTATCTTTGGATTAAGAAGTTGTAAAGTTAAAACTTTTTTGTAAATGTGAAGAAGTGAGTACCATTTAAGTTATGTATTTGTATGTGATTTTGAGTAATTACTTGCCAATTGTTATTCTACATAATTGTGATGTTTGCATGAAAATTTCATGTTTAGTGTGGTTTCTTAGCAGAAAAGTTAATTTAGGTTTATAAGTTAATATATTTCTGTACTGTTAAGTCTATGACCCAATCTAGAGCGCTCCTTTAATTTACTTTTTTAAGGAAAACAGATCCCTCGACTCAAAGGTATTTTTGTAATCTTGAAGATATATTTGGCGCAGTACTTTCGAATCCGGCTCTCGTGCTATTAACTATATTCAATCTGATCCTGGTGATGACAGTGAATCTTGTTGTTGCTATTTCCAATTCGACTTACTACACTAGCAAACCTGCTTGGTGAAACCGAGCATATTTAAGGCAGAGTGTGCGTTTCTTGTTTTTCAGTGGCGCCATCTATGGTCAAGAATTCGACTTCTGCCACACTATACGTCACACCCGTTCATAGGGCGGACCCATTCATACATCCATTCATTCATCCACACATAGTAATTTTTGACCTGGAAGTGTTGTTTTTTTTTCATAAGCTTTACAAACTGTGCAACCTTTTATCTGTAGTGTTTCTTTCCTTTCATATAATTTCATTATATATTAAGCCATGATTCTAGGCTTATTCCTCAGGCAGCTTATTTAAGTGCGCTATTTTTTATATTTTTTTACAAGGTATGCATAATCTCAGATGTATTAAACCATGACTCATGACTTTTATCAGCCGCATATATGTATATTAGGTAATGACTCATTCATCTGCAGTGTGTGTATGTATATCAAGCTAGAATCATTCACCTGTAGCCTTTGTATTTATTTATAATGATTAACACTTTATGTGTATTAGGCTGCGATCGTGCAGTGCTTTTCATGGGCGCTGCAACGATATCTGTATGACGCAGCGGCCTGTACTTTTGCAACGTTTTTTGAGGCCATTACTCGATTCAAAGTTGTAAATCATACTTTCGCAAATTAAATAACAATGATATAGACCCTATTAGCCCTCATTGAGCCAATATTCATGAATCGTGGCTCAGTAGGGGTTCAAAGGGCCTTTATTTTTCCGATATTGACCCTAGATAGAATTTTCCGATTCACTTGATATTTTACAGCCACTTTACAAACAATATCAGTCCTATATAGCGTTGCGAGATTCACTCGATATTTTATATCCATTCTTTAACCATTGTATGTTTTATATTGGCCAATGTAGGCCATTTTAGAACCAATATTAAAAAACTAGACATCCCAATATTGGTTCCTCGGTGCATGAACCCAATATTGAACCAATATGCATAGGTCCCTGTAAAGCAAATTTTGAACCCAAATGGGGCCAAGGTAAAATTGTTGCTAGGGGAGGTAAAGACTATGGGTACATTTTTCTCTCAATAGTTAAAAATCTGAATAATTCCCTCCCTGTTATTTTAGAAACAAAAAGTCATGTATCGAATAGAAAAAAAAGCAAAAAAATTCTCAATATGTAGACATTTTGCAGATTTAAGACATTTATTTTTAAATTTTTATTTTGAATGTGAATTTTTGAGAACTATCGTAACCATGTTGTGTTTAAAAATTAAGTGTCTGATACGACCATAAATACGAATATTTCTTGGTAATTTTTTTGGGAAAACATTCCATGTTTATAACATCCGTCTAGAGCTCATTGTTGCCTTCAATGATATCTTATCAATTTATAACCATTCAAAAACAATCAGCCCACATTGATTTTTAGTTGGAATAAATTTCCATCTTCACTTTTAATGACGTGAACATAGTGGTCTCTCACCTGCCTACTTAAAAGAAGAACCTGGTTGTTGATGTTTCAAACCAACAAAGCCGCTTTTATCTTCTCATAACATGTCACATCATTAACGACTCCAGCGTTTATACCTTATCCATATTAAACGATGGCTTAAAGCCATCAGCTTTAAGAGTTTTATGACCAATCATCGTTGCGCTTCTGGGTTTCTAGGGAGAGGACTAATCCTTCAAGTCACTGAATTGTAATTGGAGACTGGAATTAATAGGCTGACCAATCAAGAAATTGCTAATAACTTAACCACGGGATGTTTTAAGTGTCACTTGCTGCATAGTGGCTTATGATTAACGGCCATCGGATAGATGACAGGGATAACTGGAAAGTTGGCTCTTAGAGGCTTTTGGAGAGAGGCTGTTAATGGTCTACTTTCATTCCAGGAATAAATTTAGCACCCGTATTGCTTAGTTTGCTTTATTAATGGGATGACAATTTACCATGATCCTTTAGATTGGCTTATCTCTTATGTTTTTATAGACAGGGCACAAACAACGAAAATATAATACTGTAAGTTTAAATTTGTTCTTTTTAATTTGCGAAGGTGGTTTTAAGACAGCATATAAAAAGGTGGTTTAAGCATATAGAAACAATGCTTTTAATACTCTGAAAGTCTGACGGAGAAATTTATCGCTATTTGATGTGACAGCTTTCTTATACATATAACTAATAATTTTTGCCTCGTGTTATTCAAAAGAGCATTAAGCATTGCTGTACTATATTTTTTATAATGAAATATACTTATGACGCTTTCTGCATAAAGTTGTGAATTTATATTAAATTTTAGTTTTTTTTTTTTTTTACACTTTTTGAACGTAATTTTTTTTTCAAGAAAAAGCATTTGTTATTATTATTATTGGAAATTACAAGTTTAGGTATTGCTATTTTATGCTTAAGGATATTTTCAAAATTAAGTCGCTTTAAATATCTTTAAACAGCTTGCTTTTAAGCATGATTTAGAAAAGAACTTGTTTAATGCTTTAGAAACAATTGCGAACCATTCTATGACGTTCTGTACAGTTATCAAAATTTTTTAGAGTATATTAGTTTTCTTTTTAAACGAATTTTAGTTGATGATTCTTGTTAAGGAGACTAAGAATAAAAGGGAGAAGAAATTCTATCTAAAAATTCTAATTTTAAGATTTAATTTTGACCTCTTAACTAGCAAGTATTTTTTCTTTAGATGTACTGCTGATTCGCGATGAATTGATGCTTTCCAGTTACTTAGTAATATGTGCTACTAAATACGTTACATAAGTTAAGTAACCGTTTTACGAACAGCATTTTCGACTTGATTAGTTTTATTAAAATGACAGGTACTTCTGGAAAGTAAAATTAAATTTCTTGCTACTGATTTCCAAAATAAATTTCGCAAAACATAACGTTTATTTGATTTCTTGCACAGAAGTCTAATTTTGCATTTCAAATTGATTTATTAAATTTATCTTTTGGGACCGTTCGAAGAACTTAACTGTTCGAAATGTAATCATTGCATCAAATAATTGTCATGCTGTATTTAATTTAATATCATCAATTATGTATATTTAAAAAAATAATTATTTTTTTTCAAGAGTGAAAAGTTACTTAGACATTAATAACGCGCTTATTTCAGTAATCTTTTTAACATCCTTTCGTAAACATGTTATTTTTCAGGAAGCTAATAAAAACTTCACCGTGATTTTAAAGTAATACCATATAGTATTGTATTTGAAAATATCAATTAACTTCAATTAATCTGTGGAATTTTTTTTTATTTTTATTTTTTAGGAAAAATAATTTTATGAATTTTTTTCAGAAACTAATTATGATTGTTTTTAAAATGTTCTGTCATAAGCAACGTTATTTTTGAACAGTTTAAAAAACATAATCATTATGCTAAATAATTGTCAAGCTTGTATTGGTGAAAAGTTTACATTAAATTACGAATTTGGAAATATCAATTAACGCCAATTAAACTTTTAAACTTTTTTTATTTTTGATGAATTTTTTCAGAAGCTGATTTCGATTGTTTTTGAAATGTTGTGTCATCAGCAACATGATATTTATAAACGGTTTTAAAAAACATAACAATTGTGCTAAGTAATTGCCATGCTTTTACTGCTGAAAAGTTTACATTACATCATGAGTTTCGAGTTTTTTTCTCACAAGGATTAACAATAACTGAAGCTGATTCTGAATTCTATAGATATTTATGTTATATGCGCTATTCACTACTTATGCAATGTATTTTTCTATTTAAATGAAATTGATACCATAATAACTTTTTTCATTGACTTTTAGAATATATGATTATCTTAAAGACTAAATTTATGAGAAAAACTATAGGCGTTGCGTACGTTATGTTTTTTGGGCAATATTTAAGTTCTTGTGTCAGAAGTAGNTATAAAAGTATATAGCTTTCTTGCTCACTGTTTTGAACACTTATTGTAATCACATGCCATTAAATTTGCTTTTATAACTTAACTTTATAATTCTTTGTGTGTTTTTGCCTCATATAAGAACATAAACTTTTATGCCCTCTAGTGGTTTTGCGTTTTGTTTTCGATCATGCATTCTTTGATAAAAACTGTTTGCTTGGGTGTGTACTATCACTTCCTAAAGTTTTGCCCATCTTTTTAGAATCACCCTGTATATACAGGGTGATTCTAAAAAGATGGGATTTTTTTTTTTTTGGCGATAATTATGTTAACCTATTTTGATCTAGCTTGACTTATACGTCTTGGGAGTTGTGAGAATTCTATCCGAATTCTGATTTGAAAAACGACTGTTTTCCCGTCAATCAAATGTTTTTTTTTTCTTTTTCTTTTTCCAAAAATTAAGTAGTAGCTAACAGAAGAAAATATTCATTTAGTTAAAATAATTGCCCTTTTTTTTAATAGGTGATTTCCATCTCTGGACAGAATCATAAATTTACTCTAAAATTTCTACCGTGAATTAAATTGAAACTTAATAGTTGTTTGAACTTAAGAGTTTAGATTTGTGCTGTGCTCCCACCTTCTAAAAATATCCCTTGTAAAAATATCACCATTCAAAACATAATTTTGACATTAAAGGACTGATTTCCCTACAATTGATGATTCCGTATTTGATAAGATTCCAATTTGCACCTTCAGCTTCAATTAGGATAAAATAAAGTGGCGGGGGGCCCTACAGG